ATAGCAGGACACCTTGGATTCTATAGCCCTGGATGGCAAATGTATATAGAAGCAGAAAACTAAACTGCTTTCTATTGATCATCTGAGAAAGTTCCCTGTTGCTAACCTCCAGGAAAGTGTGACTTTTTGTGCCTTCTAAGTCTAACGTTTTCGGCTGACATGAAGTGGAAAGAATACATTGAAACCATTGCTAAGTCGGCTGCTAAGTTTGTTCTGTATGTAGTCCTAGACAATTATTCTGTCTTGTATCTATATCGATAAGTCTATCATTCTTCCATGATTTGAATATTACTGCCAGACATGGCCCGGTTCTCCTGCTATTTATCTAGAGTTCCTTGTTAAGTCCGAAAGATGAATCAGCATTATTCTTGCTCCTGATATATTCCCTCGGTTTCATTGCCTTTCCCGGTGATAAGAAAAAAAAAGGACTACTTGCGCCCTTTCTAAATTTCTATAAATACTTTCATGGAAAGGAGGAGCTCTTCGCTACGGTTGCTAAACTCTTGACATTTAAGCGCAGTGCGAGACTGTCAGTGAGATCTCATCGATATGCAGTTGTTTTGACGAGATGCAACCGTAAGTCCTATGCTTTTCTCGCACTTCTCACTTGTGGAACTCTCTTTCTGTTACATGTTTTCCAGTTTACTTTAATCTTCAAAAACTTAAATGACATGTCAATCGTTATCTACTCATCCTCATTACATTTTTTTTGCTCCTTAGTAATATATTTCTGTTTTCTAATACTAAATATATACAGTTTTATATATATATATATATATATATATATATATATATATATATATATATATATATATATATATATATATATTTCTGTTTTCTAATACTTAGTAATCCTTAGTAATATATTTCTGTTTTCTAATACTAAATATATATAGGTTTATATAAAATATATATTTAAATATATATATATATATATATATATATATATATATATATATATATATATATATATATATGTGTTTTTCTAATACTTAGTAATCCTTAGTAATATTTCTGTTTTGTAATACTAAATATATATAGGTTTATATAAAAAATATATTTAAATATATATATATATATATATATATATATATATATATATATATATATATATATATATATATATATATATTTCTACTTAGTAATCCTTAGTAACATATTTTTGTTTTCTAATACTAAATATATATAGGTTTATATATATATATATTTCTGTTTTCTAATACTTCCACGCCAGTATCCCCTTATACCTTAGTGACTTTACTGCCCTGCTTGGGAAGAATACAGTTAAAAAATAAAATATATTTGGGGGATTAAAACGCTGTTATTGGAGTGGACGGACGTGTTTTTTCATTGCTCAAGGAAAGAAATTGTAGCGATAGTGGTTACCATTGTTGTTTATTTCCGACAGAATCACCAAATATGTAATGGTTTGTATTACCATTGTTGTTCTGAACGTCGAACGACGAACGTCGCGGTCATCATTATTGTAGTGATTGAGTTACCAATATTTAACTTTGGTTAGGAAAGGTGGGATTAAGCACTATGCGTGAACGCAATGCAGTTTATATTTGACGTAAATCGCACATAGAATAAAATACAAAACTGAACGGAATGATTTCAAAATAGACAATTACATTTATTAATGTTTGATGTACATGCATGCGAACTGAAAAGGTAGGACAGAGTCGTGTCCCTTTGATTAGCTATTAGTTGTACCGGAGTTCATATTAAGAAGAAGTAATATTAAACATATTATTTAGAAGAATAGTTTGGAATTGTGAGTTGCAAAGTTGGTAAAAGTTCATAAGTGATTTCAGAGTTTGTGAATGTTGGTAATTGTCTTTAACGTCTGGCCAGCAATGACAAAGACGGGTGTTCTTGAAGGTTACATCTTGGTAGCAAGGAATGAGACGTGCAAGAAAGATGAATGAAAAGAAAAACTACTGGAGGGAGTTTTACACGTGTTAAGTTTATATAATGATCGTGAGGCTCCCAGCATATGAGCGGGAAAACAGACTGGTCACGTGCAGGCGGTTTGATTGGTCAGAACTGACCAATCAACAAGCTAGATTGGAGGTGATTGACCAATGAATACTTGTTATATTTGCATGAAAGTAGGATGTTACTTACCAGATAGGAAGAGTGCATTTCCTAAAAAGAGGTAAGGCTGGTTTGTTGTGGAAGATCCCGCAAGATATTGTATTTTAAAATGGAATGTCTTTATTTTAATTATCCATTTCTTCTTGTTTTTTTTTTGGTTTTTATATTATAACTTTATTATATTATTAAGCCTTTATAAAATTTTATTATTAAAATACATATTTGTTCATATTTTTAAGAAATGTAGGTGTATACATTGATCGCTTTTTGGTTTTATTTTTAAAATAAGTGTTTTAGTAAGTTTATTTTATAAAGAATATCTGTCAGCACTATGAATATTTTTATGAAAGAGGATTTATTTTTTTTTTAAATTGCAGGAAATGAATTTTGAATCATATTGATTATTTTGTTTATAAATTACTATTTGTTCAGTATCGTCAATTTCTTTCCATATCTTCAAAATTCAAACATTTTAACAACATTTTCCAATAATTTTATTCATTTATCCTTTTATTTATTATTGGTTGTTGCAACTTAGCGTTTTTTTATGGGCGATGGCGTATTTTTAAATTTATAGGTAAATGGTTTCGAGTCGTCACCTTATCTTTTTTACTTATGGTTCAATATTAAATTTCTTCCTTCATTATTTATCTCTAAAATATTTATTTTTAGCCTAAGAAATAATGATAATTTTATATATTTTTTCCTTTTTCTTATACATTGATTATTTTCTATTATTAATATTATATGTAATCAAGGAAAGAGGTACATTTTATAACGAACTACTCACTCCGACATCCAGTATGAAATATCTATGGTCGTTTACTAACCTGTTTTCCACTGTGATTGCAAGCGTGAAGGCCTCTGGAGTTCCCGTTACTATATGGTCACCCATGGCAGTAATGACGATAAGGAGGGACCAAACTGAACGCGACAACACTCGAACACCCCAACAGCGGAATTGGCAAACATCTATATCATCACAACGGCCAAACCTAAGGAAGAAGGTAGCAAAAGTCAGGTTGGCGTAATGAAGGCGAACCTTGACAGACCAAGCATACGAAAGCCCGATGCATTCACGTTTGCCTGATCTCGCCTGTCTGCATACTTTCTGAGCGCGAAGGGGTATATATATATATATATATATATATATATAGAGAGAGAGAGAGATAGATAGATAGATAAGCCTATTGAGCCAGGCAAACCTAAGCGGATCATCAGGGAAAGCTGGCCAGTTTTCTCTGACGATCCGCTTAGGTGAAACCTGGGTAGGTTTGTCTGGCTCACTAGGTTTATCTAGGTCGGCTCTACGGTTGTATTGAGCTCTTTTAGTTAGTTGTTTACTCGTATCAGGGTTTTTTCTTTGGGCTTTAAACCTTTTATCTGTGCGAGTTTTTTCGGCAGACTCATGTTTCTATCTCTTACTTTTTTTAAAACCTTTTTTTCCTTCGTGGTTGATTTGATTATTGGCAAATCGAAAATTCGAAGGTTTTTCGAAACGAGTATAGTTACCTATATATATATATATATATATATATATATATATATATATATATATATATATATATATATGCGTGTGTGTGAGAGAGAAAGAGAGAGAGAAAGAGAGTGTGTGTGTGTGTGTGTGTGTGTGTGTGTGTATTTTTTCTTAGATATAGATTATAAATACGGGGTGTAACAGTAAATTTATCCAAATTATGTGACGATTGTCCATCACAAATATTTAATAAAAAAAAAAAAACTAAAAAAAACTAAACTAATTGAGTTTCTTTTTGGCAGATTTTCAGATAAGACTCTTCGGTATACTGACACCATTTCTTGAAAGAACCACTGAAAAACCCTTCGAGTTTTTCAGCTAGAAAGAGAACATGTTAAAATCGTTTTGTGTCAAAGCCAGCGTCTTTTCAACTGAGCAACGGTAAGAGGAAAAAGATCATTCAGGCCTTCAGTAACGGTACCGACATTCATACTCTGGCTTCTATCTTCAAAGTCCAGTGAAGAACTATCAAGTCAAGAGAAAGGTGAATAAGTTTAAAAAAGAGGGAACAGTAGGAAGAAAAATTGCATCAGGTCAAAACAGAAGGAGGAATCATCATTTCGGCTTAGAGGTGAATTACATTTTTATTGTTTAGTGTTCAATAGTGTTATAAAAACTTCGGCGAATTCCTTTAAGATATCTTTAATCATTTCTAACAGATAACAGTTCATCGCTTAATCTAACAATTGGACTATTTTGATGTTACACAATTTGGACAATTTTGCTGTTACACCCGGTATGTACAGGAACAGCAATAAATGCTTAGACAAATATGCACATAAAAACACATGTAGATATAATTGTGTGCGTGATTTGTAGATGTGTGTGTCTGTGTGAGTGTTATATAAGGACATGGATATGCATAGAAATACAAATATATTCTATGACATTTATACCCATAAAAATAATATATATATATATATATATATATATATATATATATATATATATATATATATATATATATATATTGCGTGCATGTGTGTTTGTGTGTGTGTTTGTGCGCGTGTGGCAACAGATGCATCCGATAAAAATCTTCACTTAAGTAGAACTCTGAAATTGTCTGGAGTATTTCTATGTATTCATGACTTGTTTAAAAACAACTTTATGAATATATATTGAATATAACATTAAGAAAAAAGATGCCAGGACTAAAAAGTCATATATTCACACGGCCAATACGAAAAGAAATACAATTAAATCTTGTACAGTCTCTTCGTTATAAACTCGGAAATACTAATTGAATATAAATAAGCATTTAACCATCTACTATGTGTATCTTTCCCTTTCCAAATCTGTCTATTCATATGTATGTATGTGTGTATATATATTTATGTATGTATATATGTATGTACCTATCTGCATGTTTAAATCTATCTATCTATCTATCTATCTATCTATCTATCTATCTATCTATCCCAGTTTGTTCATATATATATGTATTCTTCCTTTATTACCCTGCGGAGGGTAGTTTGGGGACCTTGTGGCACTTAGTGCACCAGGTCTCTGTATTCGGCCCTTCAAAAAGTGTGGATGGTCCTGCACGAAACATTCACCACTATAATCAAATCTCATGTGCTGTTGGTGGGCTGTCGGTTTCCGGGAAACTGATCTGCTTCACCCTCATACGTCGAATTTCGACGGGAGAGTCGACTATATATATATATATATATATATAAAACTAAGTAGGTTCATTACGAATGCATATTTAAATGTAATTATATAGGTCTGTTCAATATTTATCTCTATGTATGTCTGTTTATTTTTATGTATCTCAGTTTGTCATTATATATATATATATATATATATATATATATATATATATATATATATATATATATATATATATATATATGTGTGACTCTGTGTGTGTGAATGTATTGAAATAAAGATGTATGAACAAATTGAAAAATTTATTGCCACGCGTTTAGGACATTATCTGAAAACCCAATCCGATGAAGTCCTAACGGATGAAACGCGTCATAAAAACTTTTTCTAATTTGTCATAAAAAACTTTTCTTGATTTCAAAACTTTTCTTGATATATAAAAATGTTTATATCCTTATCCCATATATATATATATATATATATATATATATATATATATATATATATATATATATATATATATGCGTGTGTGTGTGCGCCTGTGTGTGTGTGTGTGTGTGTGTGTGTGCGTATCTTGTTCATATCTCTCCATCTGTATATCTCTTGTCAGTCTCTTCGTGTCAATCATCATTTTCTTAATTGGCTTTGTTTTCTTTTGTAATACCTTTAATCATTTCGGATATTTTCACGATTGAAAATTCATTTTATCCAATTCTATTCCTAGATTGCTTCTCATATTCTGTATTTATTTTATACTATAGGTAATGTTTTTTATTCCACAATATTGTTACGAAATGATACAATACTTTAAACATTACATGCTTAAATACGCTAAAATACTGAAATCAAGGTGTGTTCAGTAATATTCCAAACACATTTTATGCTGTCAAATAAAGCAAGGCGAAATATACCTTCATACACATGACTCTTTGATTTCTTTCAAGGGTCTGTCATGTAATCGTTCCTGATCAGGCATATCGACCAGTCGCTTTTTCGAACGACGTATCATGGTTTCTATCTGTATTTTCTTCAAATATTTTCATAGCATCTGTCTATATTTCTGAGATGAGGTATTATGTACATTATTTACATTATTCGGATTATTGTCCTCATCTTTGTCGCCATATTTATTACAACGTTTCGGCCCTTCAGTATCTGTCTATATTTCTGAGATGAGGTATTATGTACATTATTTACATTATTCGGATTATTCACCTCATCTTTGTCGCCATATTTATTACAACGTTTCGGCCTTTCAGTATCTGTCTATATTTCTGAGATGAGGTATTATGTACATTATTTACATTATTCGGATTATTGTCCTCATCTTTGTCGCCATATATATTACAACGTTTCGGCCTTTCAGTATCTGTCTATATTTCTGAGATGAGGTATTATGTACATTATTTTACATTATTCGGACTATTCTCCTCATCTTTGTCGCCATATTTATTACAACGTTTCGGCCTTTCAGTATCTGTCTATATTTCTGAGATGAGGTATTATGTACATTATTTACATTATTCGGACTATTCTCCTCATCTTTGTCGCCATATTTATTACAACGTTTCGGTCTTTCAGTATCTGTCTATATTTCTGAGATGAGGTATTATATACATTATTTATTGTCCTCATCTTTGTTATTTATTACAACGTTTCGGCCTTCAGTATCTGGACTATTTCTGTGAGGTATTATGTACATTATTTACATTATTCTTTTCTCCTCATCTTTGCCATATTTATTACAACGTTTCGGCCCTTCAGTATCTGTCTATATTTCTGAGATGAGGTATTATGTACATTATTTACATTATTCGAACTATTGTCCTCATCTTTGTTGCCATATTAATTACAACGTTTCGGCCCTTCAGTATCTGTCTATATTTCTGAGATGAGGTATTATATACATTATTTACATTATTCGGATTATTGTCTTCATCTTTGTCGCCATATTTATTACAACGTTTCGGCCCTTCAGTATCTGTCTATATTTCTGAGATGAGGTATTATGTACATTATTTACATTTTTCGGACTATTGTCCTCATCTTTGTCGCCATATTTATTACAACGTTTCGGCCCTTCAGTATCTGTCTATATTTCTGAGATGAGGTATTATATACATTATTTACATTATTCGGATTATTGTCTTCATTTTTGTCGCCATATTTATTACAACGTTTCGGCCCTTCAGTATCTGTCTATATTTCTGAGATGAGGTATTATATACATTATTTACATTATTCGGACTATTGTCCTCATCTTTGTCGCCATATTTATTACAACGTTTCGGCCCTTCAGTATCTGTCTATATTTCTGAGATGAGGTATTATATACATTATTTACATTTTTCGGACTATTGTCCTCATCTTTGTCGCCATATTTATTACAACGTTTCGGCCCTTCAGTATCTGTCTATATTTCTGAGATGAGGTATTATATACATTATTTACATTTTTCGGATTATTGTCCTCATCTTTGTCGCCATATTTATTACAACGTTTCGGCCCTTCAGTATCTGTCTATATTTCTGAGATGAGGTATTATATACATTATTTACATTATTCGGACTATTGTCCTCATCTTTGTCGCCATATTTATTACAACGTTTCGGCCCTTCAGTATCTGTCTATATTTCTGAGATGAGGTATTATGTACATTATTTACATTATTCGGATTATTGTCCTCATCTTTGTCGCCATATTTATTACAACGTTTCAGCCCTTCAGTATCTGTCTATATTTCTGAGATGAGGTATTATATACATTATTTACATTATTCGGACTATTGTCCTCATCTTTGTCGCCATATTTATTACAACGTTTCGGCCCTTCAGTATCTGTCTATATTTCTGAGATGAGGTATTATCTACATTATTTACATTATTCGGATTATTGTCCTCATCTTTGTCGCCATATTTATTACAACGTTTCGGCCCTTCAGTATCTGTCTATATTTCTGAGATGAGGTATTATATACATTATTTACATTATTCGGACTATTGTCCTCATCTTTGTCGCCCCATATTTATTACAACGTTTCGGCCCTTCAGTATCTGTCTATATTTCTGAGATGAGGTATTATCTACATTATTTACATTTTTCGGATTATTGTCCTCATCTTTGTCGCCATATTTATTACAACGTTTCGGCCCTTCAGTATCTGTCTATATTTCTGAGATGAGGTATTATGTACATTATTTACATTATTCGGACTATTGTCCTCATCTTTGTCGCCATATTTATTACAACGTTTCGGCCCTTCAGTATCTGTCTATATTTCTGAGGTGAGGTATAATCTACACTATTTACAATATTCGGATTATTGTCCTCATCTTTGTCGCCATATTTATTACAACGTTTCGGCCCTTCAGTATCTGTCTATATTTCTGAGATGAGGTATTATGTACATTATTTACATTATTCGGACTATTGTCCTCATCTTTGTCGCCATATTTATTACAACGTTTCGGCCCTTCAGTATCTGTCTATATTTCTGAGATGAGGTATTATATACATTATTTACATTTTTCGGACTATTGTCCTCATCTTTGTCGCCATATTTATTACAACGTTTCGGCCCTTCAGTATCTGTCTATATTTCTGAGATGAGGTATTATATACATTATTTACATTTTTTTCGGATTATTGTCCTCATCTTTGTCGCCATATTTATTACAACGTTTCGGCCCTTCAGTATCTGTCTATATTTCTGAGATGAGGTATTATATACATTATTTACATTTTTCGGATTATTGTCCTCATCTTTGTCGCCATATTTATTACAACGTTTCGGCCCTTCAGTATCTGTCTATATTTCTGAGATGAGGTATTATATACATTATTTACATTTTTCGGATTATTGTCCTCATCTTTGTCGCCATATTTATTACAACGTTTCGGCCCTTCAGTATCTGTCTATATTTCTGAGATGAGGTATTATATACATTATTTACATTTTTCGGACTATTGTCCTCATCTTTGTCGCCATATTTATTACAACGTTTCGGCCTTTCAGTATCTGTCTATATTTCTGAGATGAGGTATTATATACATTATTTACATTTTTCGGACTATTGTTCTCATCTTTGTCGCCATATTTATTACAACGTTTCGTTCAGTATCTGTCTATATTTCATATTTTTTATTTACATTATTCGGACTACTGTCCTCATATTTTTCGCCATATGTATTACAACGTTTCAGCCGTGAGTTCAATACCCGGTTGAGGCAGTGTAGAACTTTCAGAGGGAAATTAACAGCAGATAACTGATAACTGACATCCATTAAACATGGCACGTTGAACTAGAACAGTCTACCCCAATGAGTGAAATATAGGGTTAAGTTCGACATTCCAACCACCTGAAGAAGGCCGAAGCGTATAACGGCCGAAACGTTGTAATAAATATGGCTACAAAGATGAAGACAATAGTCCGAATAATGTAAATAATTTTCATAGCAGTTGTTCTGAGGAACTGTTCTCCTTGGTGCCTAGTCTGCATTAATTTAAGCATGGTACTAGATTTCTTTAAGGTGAACTAGCTAGATACACGCCTTAGTTCTTTTTGTAACCTCGGGAAGATTACTGAATGACGAATAAGGAAAACGGAAGTTGGAAATGAAATGGTAATCTTTATAATATCAATAAAATAAAGTACTCGCCAGCGGCATGATGTAGGTAAACCACTGCCATTGATGGACTACGTAGACAGTATATTATCTCCACTTAGTGTCCAAAGTATTTATAAGGATTGTGACATACCTATTAGCGTTTATAGGTACGCTACATGTTCTACTCTGTTTCTCTTCTTACACT